ACATCTAGAATGCAATGGATAAGCCTCGCCCCGGGGAAAGCCACATTTTTGATCATTGTTTCACCTCATTTTGAGTCCTACCACTTCGGCGAAAGCTTTCCTCCACCTGTGTCATTAAGGGAGACTCGACTTTGAGGAGGCTGCTCTTTACCAGTTACATTTCAAGTGATTTCAAACTTGAGGGGCTCATCTTCTGGTACTCTATCAAACAGTATTCTGCTGCTATTCATAAAGTTCTCATTGGCCACTTTTAGAAGTAGTTACCAGGTCGTTTTATCCTCGTCTGTCTTAGTCTACAAGATGCTTGTTAAAACCTGAACACCATGGGTGAGCCTGCTGGTATTTGAAATGACAGTGATGTAGCCTCAGCATCACAGCAGCACAAAAACCATCAGAGTATGATGAACTGAGAGCCAAAAGGTGGTGCAAGAGATTAGCATGCACTTTCTTAATCTTCATTTTCCATTTTATATGTCTCTTTTCTAAGCACACAAGAAGTTAAATGATATATTTTAAATAAAAGCCAGAAAATCCCACTGTGGTTTAATAAATTCTGACTCATGTAACATCCCACTACTGGGATTCTAAGACTAAATCTCTATAGAAAGAAACTGTACATCTTTCTCCCATGGGGCAGTAAGTGGATTTGAACCACTGTACTTTTGTTAGTAGGGCAGCATATAATACCAAAGCTTTTTATATTTTAAATAAATATATATAAAAACTAGTATTAGTGACTATTTAAAGAAGTTTACATAGACAGTATCAATATTCAGTAAGGGTCGAGGAAATTTTATTGTGATATCTTTCATAGCAGTTCAAAATAAATACATATTAGTAATTATTCTATTTTCATATGTGGGAGTCATAAAACAATTACAAACGTCATAAAAATCTATACATAGAACAGTATTTACCAAATTTTAAGATTTTTTTCTTTATTTAAGTACATTTAAAGTTATGGAAACAAAGTTAATGAAAAATTTCCAATAGTTTCAATTTCCTATGTTCCAGGATTATTTCTTCTATAATCAGGTCTCACCATCCTTGACTTCTAGAAGGTGAGTGAGAAAGGTATGGGATATACCAGACCAATTGCATGAGACACATTTTACCAGAAACCTGGTCAAGTCACTAGCTTTTCTGAATTCAGCTAATTTATCTACAAATTTTGGACAGCTACAGTATCCACGTGGAAGAAAAAAATAAATTAAGTAGATGTCAACAATAGATGCTAAGGACACTAGTGTACACTCTTCGGTAAACAGGGAAAATTTTCAAAGGAAATTACATAGGCAAAAACTAAACAGACTAGTTAGTCATCTAAACTGTGCAGTAATTTTTTTCTTATTTCCAAAGGCAACCTCAATCACATTGAGTTCTTACCTTGTAATTAATTTAACTGAGCTTAAATGCGGATAAAATGCCCCTCCATTAGAAAAGGGAGAAGGGTTAAGAGAAAAACAGAAAAAAAGGTTACTAACTAGGAAATGCCTTCCAGGTATGACAGCTGCAATCTGAAAAATGTCTAGTCTCAATAAATGATGAAATGAAGAGAATTTTACCAATGCTAATCTTAATACTCTAACAACTTACAATTTACATTATTAATTACTGCAGAACTTTCAAATTATCATAATTTTTTTTTGCTAGTGCTGTGTTAAAACTTCAAGGATAACCAAAAGATAGAGGTTTGATTAATAATGTTCCTTATTTATTTTTTCTTGTATAAAATTTATTTTCCTTTTTTTTAAAAAAACCCAAGGTATCATATATTGGTGACATTACTATGCCAAGTATTTCCTACATACCCCTTTTTCATACAGCTTAGCTAAAAATGACAAGTAATGATCAACAAGAAGGCAGGTTATACTTTTTTCATTTCAGGCAATGTCCTAATGAAAGTTACTTATCTCTAAAGCAAAATATGTTGTGACTTTGATTCTTTTGACACCTAGTCTCTATTTCTAAAGTCTGCAGGTTCCACTAAAATGTTTTAAAGACATTTTAAAAAAATGTTTTAAAAGACTCCACAGACCAGGAAAGATTTTTACTAAAGAGAGCAATTTCATCCTTCATATCATAGCAAAGATAAATAATATATTTACTATAGAACTGTGCTGTTTGATACAGTTAGTACTGATCTCCTAAGGCCAATCTGAGCATTTAAAATGTGGCTAGTTCAAATCAGTAAAATAAACACCAGAGTTCAAAAGAGTAAATAATCTCAATAACTTTATATTGACTACATGATAATATTTTGGATATATTGTGTTAAATAAAATACACTATTAAAATAATATTTACTTGTTTCTTTTTATTTATTTCTTCTAAATGCAGCTGCTAAAATACTTAGCTTACATATATGGCTCATATTGGTTTTCTGTCCTATCAAACTTCTGTGAAAGCAGGGCTGACATAATATATTTAATACAATACAAAGTTCCTGAGCTTAGAATAAAGAACATTTCAATTCTTAAAAATAAAATACAGCCAATGATGTATCCATATATTTGACATAATAATAGTATACTATTTCTTTTTATAATCTATAAAACTGACAATTGTGCTTAACTTTGGTTATATATGACTCTGCAACTAGGCAAAAAGATCTTTTGAACTGATGGAGATACTCTAATACTGGACTGTGGTGATGACTTCACAATTGTACAATGTAAACCACTGAACTGTTACACTTAACGTGGGTAAGTTTTATTGCATGTAAATTGTACCTCAATAAAGCTGTATTTTTAAAAATATTCAGAGCTAGACCCAGCAAATCTCAAGGGCCATTTATTTAGACATTGCATATGTTTCAGGTAATTCAACAATAATTTTTTAATCTGTTTTTATTGTCCTGTGTTGCGGTGAGATTCTTCCCATATGGGTCATTTTACCTGCAGTGGCTCAACATTCAGCTGTAGATTATGCAATCACTTATTGGAGGTATGAGTTGCTACGGACAGAGGGACACTACAGCAGGTAAGGGCGGGCAGTTTATTTGCCTCTAGAGGCACCCAGCTCAGGTATAGTAGCCCTTTAGTGATAGAGAGTCTTGTCAAAAATCCCTTACCCAAGCTGAACATTATATAACTAAACACCTGCTGGTGTTTCGGCATCCTGGGCAAAACACTGGAATATAAAATCTCCTGCTCTACACTACTACCACACGTAAATGAAAGAATATGCATGAAAGGGACTATTCAATATTTAAAAATTTCCATGGGAAACAAAACTAAACTGCTGAGCATTTTTTTCTCTACTGCTGGACAACAACTACCACAAAGTATCAGCAAATAAAAAACTACAATCAGTGCTAAAAGTGTATTTGGGATGAATCAGCTTCCTGATGCGCAGGATCTCTGGTGCATCGTCTCTGTCAGGTGCTGAGACAAATTACTTTTCATCTCAAAAACAGTGAGATTATTCACTGCGAACTTTGTGTGGCTGTCATCTTTTGTTTTTAAAAAGCCATCATGTCCAAAAACAATAACAAAACACAGTTCCATTTTGTCTACTTTATCCAAATAAATATCTTTCTCTCTTAAAACACAAAGACAGATAAAAAAACAAACTTCTCATGTACATGTACCAATATATAATTATGCTTTCTGTGGTCTTCCCAGGTCAGAACTGTTTCAAAGCTCAGTTTGCCCCATATTAACCAAAAAGTGTTTCCTTTTGAAGAGAAATCATGACAATAACACAGCAACATGTTAAAAATTGACATGGAACATTGAAATGAATTTTAAAACGTGTGCACAGTGACAAACATAAATACATCTCAAGGACTGCATAGAGTGAGTGGCCACAGGCTTTTGAGAGGAAAAAAATAGATGGAGTGTTCAAAAGCCATAAAAAGTGAGTAAATTCATTTATGAATCTTCACTTAAGGCAGCCACAGATTCAAGGAATCTATATAGTCTACTTAAGCCATTATAAAATTACTTATCTAGGCATTTGGGTAAATCTAACAAGGTATTTGCTTTTGTGCCAGACCAAAGTCATAATTGCAACAATTTCTCTACTCTGTAATGTTTTACGAGTAGTCTGATATTTTTAAAATGGAAACATGTATAAAACATTTATTAAATTTGACTATACAGAGATTATTCTCTGTTGGTGAGTATATGACATCACTAGCCATTTCATACAACCTAGCGTTTCACTACTGATCAAATCAATGTGTTACACCCAAGCACATACTGCAAAGTGATTTGTACTGCTATTATTTATGTATCAACACTTTACAGATTTCACAAAATAAATGCACAAAAGAGAAAACACAGGTTCTCAAATATGTGCAGAAAAGAATATCATCCAGATATCAAAGCCAAAACTGCCCTTGCATTACAATTATTATTCTATCCTTATTCATGTTCAGTTCTTTCAATGCTTTCAGCAGCTCACTGAATTGACAGCATAATTAATTTTTATGAAAAATAGAGGACATTTTTCCCCAGTGCAAGTTATTGCTAAACTCATACAGCATACCAAAAGTAAAGTTTAACATTTCATTTTAGAAAAAGTAAAATTTTATATAATGTTCATAAAGCTCTAAAATAGATGATTTTAACCAAACAGCATAAAGTTTGTGCTTTCTCTGATTTCCCAGCAACCATAATGTTCTCGCTAAGACACTCAATAATCTCTTAAAGAGTTCAGGTCTATGCCTTTGTGGATATTATACTCTCCACTCCTAAATACACTGTCATATCCAAACAATGTGCAAATAATAGTTTAAAGAAACAGAAAAGCTTGCATACAATATAACAGTGTCCTCTAAGAATAAAAAACAATACTGTAGGACTTTCGTTCATAGGGTTACTATGCGTCATCTGCGACTCAATGGCACTTAACAACAACAACTACTAAAATGATCAAAAATCTCAACTTATTCTACAAGCTGTGCAGGAGAGAAAAGTGGGTGATTTTTACAGACCATGCAAATGGCAGAACGAGTTTATTCAGGGGCCCATGGTATTGCAAGTTCCCAAGCATTACACCATAGGTAAGGCTTTTCGTAAATCACCGTAGAAGTTGACTAAGGTGCTTGCCATGGCTGTATCTACTGCAGACTGAGGAATCATGCCTCGCAGGTCTGTTTGAATGTAGCCTGTCAAAAGACTCTGGTTTGGATTGTCTTTAAGTGGAACACAGAACCAACCACAAGGATGGTTGTATCCGCGAACAAATTCCGTTCTCTTCTCACTCCAGTCAAGACTTACTCCTACAAGGCAATATAAAGAATTACACAATTAAGAGCAATTATCTAAAACCTCTCATTTAAAAGTATTACTGGATTCTTTTTGTTTAAATATGTCTTTTCTTATTCATGTGGAGGAAAATTAAGCCCCAAGAGTACCACAGTAGAATGAGAAAGATAATTACCAAGCAGGCTCCTGACAGGGCTGGTAGACAGGTAATGAGCCAAGTTCTAATCCCATCAGAGTGTATGACATCAGGCAATTTTGGTAATGCTTTGGAAACTATGATTCTTCGCTCCAGGAACCAGCCTCAAGGTACCAATAACCTATGGTATCACAGTATCACCATACTGAACTCTGCAGCTGGCTCATAAGAATAAAGGAAATATTTACCTACAGGTTCCAATTCAAGCCTATATTACACCAGCCAAGTCAGGAGCAGGGAAAAGCAGAAATACATGTAGATGCATTTTACAAAGTAGATTTCAAAGACAGTGCTTTTTATTTTGAAAAGAAAAAATATTATACAGCTAAACTTAAGGGGAAAAAAATTTGAAACAAATAGCAACTGTATTTTCATGATGACCAAGGAGCTGTGTTTTCTGAGGGTGACTTGAAGAAAATCTACTGACCTTTTTTTTTTTTTTTTAAACAGTCATGTGACTTAAATTATTAGCAGTCACTTAAAAGATCATGTGTACTGGGACCAAAACCTTATCAGAAGCACTGTAAAACTCTTCTTAATATCCTTTTACTGCCTGAGGGCTTTTCATATGCTATATGAAAATGAATCTTAGTAATGCTACTGTAACCTTGAGAGTTGAAAATAATTCACATTGAAAGAAATGCTGAACTCAGAAAACCCAAATATTTAAACCAAATGAAAAGTTTTAAGATTATTAAAAAAAAAAAAAGATTATTACCACAGGATAAAAGCCCGTCTTTGTAGCCCACAGTGTAGGAGAAATCAACAAATTCTCTTGGGGAGATGATGTTCCAAAGCTGGCCAGCAGTAGTGTAGCGCATCACACAACAATTCTGAAAGTGCAGAGAGGTAAGGGGTAGTTGTTATTACCTCAGAAAATAATAAAAGCACATGTGGATTTATACATCATATTAATCTTTAGTAAAAACCCAACAGTAATTTAAAATATTTCTGTTATTATTAAGAACAATTTATACAGTAACTCTTGACAGATCTAGGCTATTCTAAGTCTTTCTGCTACTGAGGGTAAATAATCAAAACCAAGTTATTCAGCAGATAAGTCTTTAATTCAATACTGTGGCCTGGAATCTTAGACAACATCCTACATTTATACCCCGTTTTAGAGTGTTTAAGATAGAATTTGAAGGGGTGACATTCTCAGAATTTTACATTTCAGAACCTCAGCTGAAGGTTAAGTTTTACAATTAAAAACTCTAAAAATTTTCTTTATTGTGGAGCCAGTGTAGAAAAGAAGTTCCATTCTAAATAACGCTCATTAATTAATACGAGAAAATGCAAGCACTCCAAGAGGCAGGACTTCCCATGAGATCTTTGCCATGACTACTTATTCTCACAGCAATGCATACAAGCAATATAAGGAAGTCTGTATAGATGCATGTACTCATGCATGCACTCACTCTTTCTTACACACACACACACACACACACACACACACACACACACACACACTGAAGTAATGCTTCTCAACAAATACCTCTTCAAAGTGCTCCAAAATATCCAAAGAAGTCATTAAGCTGTCCCAATCCAAGCGACAGGGCCCTGGGCGAATGTGGTCTATTACACTATTGACAGTATCATCTATAACACCTTGGGCTTTGTAGCTGGAAAACCAAAATTAAAGTCAAGTGCTATTCAAATGAAAAACTACAGGAAGCCCTCACAGTTCAGAACAAACCGAAAAAGATGCAGTAAAAAGTAACTTTTTTAAAAATAATTTTATTTTATTTTATACTGGTTTCCTTACAAAGTTTATATACATTGTTTTTCATACTGGATCTTTTCTATTTCCTTTACCCACCCATCACTCTACCCATCAAATTGTGTGAACCTATAATTAGCCTCCTGCTCATCCTCTGCTCCTACCTTCCCACCCCCTTGGATCCTCATACATGTTTTTCTAGTTATCTTTGTATTTCCACAATAATGATCTTATACAGTATTTATCCTTATGGGACTGAGCTAGTTCACTCAGCATAATGCTCTCCAGTCCCTCCTAAGTTAGGTAGTAATTTACAAAATCATTGCTCCTGAATGCTGCATAGTATTCCATCATGTGAATGTGCCATAATTTCTTAATCCATTCTACTATGGTGGACATTTAGAAGTAAATCCCAGAACTTTTTCTGATATATTAAGTTCTATCATTATTATTTTTTTTTAAATCCCAGAACTTTTTCTGATATATTAAGTTCTATCATTATTATATTTTTTTTCCCCCACAGAAGCCAGCTTGTAACTTTAATCACTGGGCCAAGTTCAAAAACAAAGTACTCAGCTCAGTTTTAAACTTGCAATTAAAAATAACTGTACCTCTGCTTTTCAGAGGGAGGGAGAGGAAAGGGGGCAGGGAATGGCGAAAACAAAGAATAAGGAAATGTTTAGTGCCCTTAAATCCAGTCCAAATAGAAGAGGAAGGA